TGTTAGCCACAGAGTCTTTGGACTCTGAATGTCTTTGGTCTGTAAGTGTGCCCTTGGTCCACTAAAGCAGAGTACTTTACAAGCATTGTTTAAATGGGACTTAGCACTGAATGGATTAGCTGAAGAAAATGTTCCTTTCTCAGATGCATGCTGGAACTTGGTGAAAAGGTTAGGGTTCTGACCAAACCAAAGATCCTGGCACTTTCATTTAACATAAAGGAGTTGAACTTCCCAGCCATGAAAATAGTTTTTCTGTGCCAACTGCCAATTGCCTATGCTACCCAAAGTAGACACCTAAGAGGGGTAGTGGTCTGCGGGAACAGGTGTAGAAGCCACAAGATGGATCTCTTCAGCCTGAAAACCAACACATTTAATCATCCAGTGTTCATTCCGCTCCTTCTGGTAATCGTATAAAAGTGAGTAAGGTAGAGCCTGTGCCTTAAAGGGCTTTGAAACCTAGTGGGGAAACAGGTTGTTCTTGATCATTGATGTGCTTGGTCATAGGTAGGTGTCTAAAAGGCTTTGATAGTTTGAGGAGAACTGCATAGTCCAAAGGGGTTCAGAGTATGCTGAGAGTTGTTGAAGGAGGCCTGTAGCACTGAGCTGCTAACCACAAGGTCAGCCGTTTGAATGTGCCAGCTGCTCCACGGGAGAAATATGAGGCTGTCTACGCCTGTAAAGATTTAAAGTCTCAGAAACCCCAAAGGGCAGTTCTGCTCTGCCCTATAACGTCAGTATGAGTCAGAATTCACTCGGTGGCAGTGGAGTTTGAGTTTGAAGAGTTGTTCATTTTTCAGAACATAAGGTTAGAAGTGTGTAACGCTAAGAGGCTTGGATTTCTTCCTATAATTCAGAGGCTCCTCACTGCACCTAGACTTAGCCTGAGAACTTGTTTTAAAACACCTCTTCCTAGACCAGTCTCCAAGACATCAGCCATGGAGCTCTCGGGCCGCTCCCCCAAAACCAAACCTGTTGCCATCCAATCCGTTCTGACTTGTGATGACCACGTGTGCACAGAGTAGAACTGCTTCGTGGAGTTGTGTGCGCTGTTGCTGTAATCTTGAAGGAGGCATAACCCCTGGCCCTTCTTTCAGGGCACCATTGGGTGGATCCAACCCACCTTTTGTAGTGCACAAGTGATTTGCACTACATAGGGCCCATGTTGGTTCCCCACGTGGCTCTGATTTATCTAGAACCCCCAGTTGGCACACTGCTATTGGGAATCACTGAATTAGGTAAGACTGAGCCACAGAAAAATGTTCACCCAAGGTAAATAAGATGATATTCACATTTTAGAAAGTTAAACCTGCTATTGATACAGAGCAGTGAAATCTGCTGGTCTCGTCCGAGGACCGCACTGTTGAGCAACAAGGATGCAGAGGGTGGATTAGGATGGGAGGAGTCTATAGGCCTGGGAGTCTGTTGCAATAATCCAGGCAAGAGAAGGTGAATCCTGGCACAACAGCTAGCAGTCTCTGGTCATGGCAATGGTGGGTTCCAGAGAAAAACAGGAGATAGAATTGACCAGCCTGTGCTCCTGGGCCCTGTGCGCCAGAATCGGCCTCGGCATCACTGAGAATTGGGGGTATTAGTAAGATATAGAGGTAGAAGTGGAAAGAAGAGGGGCTTCGAAATGATCTGAACTTTGAAGCTCAGTCGCCTAGATGAACGGTAGTGACGTGGCCTGAAACCAAATGAAGAGGAGGAAGAAGGTGGCCCCGTGGGTGAAGGAGGCCTGGTGAGAGGGACTCCATGACTCAGAGTTGAGAACAGGGGTCGCCGGGAGAAAGTCCTTTCACATCGCATTTTGAATGAGCACTGAGATTGAGGAGTCTGTGTGAGATCCAAAAATTTAAGGGTAGGTGAAGAAAAACCTACAGTGAACTAAACGGGGTCAGAGGCCGGTGGGTTGGAGAGCAGAGAGAGCCGCGGGCCGGGAGAGGACGCCAACAGCATCGTCACCCTGGAGGCAGCAAGTGAAAGGTAAATGACTGGATGTGATGGCATAAGATGATGGTTAAAAGGCAAACTTCCCAAACTGCTGATTGTATGAAGAGAGATTTGGGACTGTCCAAATTAGTTTCTCTGTCAGTTAATTTTTCCATTGACTTGAAGGACAGGCTTAAAGTGTAGAACCACATTTCTCCCCAGGTCTCGCATCATGATCATCGCAGTCCCTTTTATATTATGATTTTTCTCCTTCTTCTTCTCCCCGCCCCCATAGATTCAGCGTACTCAGAAGAGCGGCGATGGCACATGAGGGAAACAAAAACTAAAGGACGGACGGCCTGCCATGCACTGAACAAACACCCCTGCCTGTGAAGCCCTCTTTTAAAAAAGATGTCTGCTTGTAACACCTTTACTGAACACGTTTGGAAACCCGGCGAATGCAAAAACTGCTTCAAACCCAAAAGCTTGCACCAGCTGCCCGCAGACCCCGAGAAGGCTGCCCATGGCGGCGTGAGAACCAATGCCAACCACAGTAACAACCACCGCGTCAGGAACACCGGGAACTTCCGGCCCCCCGTGGCCAAGAAGCCCACCATTGCTGTGAAGCCCACTATGATGGTGGCCGAGGGGCCGAGTATGGGCGGTGAGCTCAGCATCCAGGAACACTGTGAGAACAGACCCGTCGTCATCGGGTGGAATCGGAACAGGGCGGCCCTGACTCCAAAACCACCGAGCAATAACAACGAAGAGACTCTCGAAGGGTTTAGCCATGTCCCGAAGCCGTACAGCCGTCTCGACAGCGCAAAGAAGGTCGCAGATAACAATAACGGACTGACGGACGTGCTCAAGGAGATAGCCGGCCTAGATGGCACTCCTCCTCTCGGGGGAAATGACGCGAGCCCCAGGGAAACGTTCTTGGGGAGAATCAACAATTGCTACAAACGGTCGCTGGAGAGGAAGCTTCCGCCCAGCTGCCTGATGGGCACGGTCAAGGACCCTCGGGGGAAGCGCGTGGTCCTAAGCGGGGCCGCAGAAGTGATCAGTAACGAAGGGGGCCGCTTCTGCTACCCGGCACTGTCTAGTGACGAGGACAGTGAGGGTGATGTGCTTTCCAGTTCCATGGGGGCGGAGCATGAGAGCTGGGACGAGAGCGACGAGGAGCTGCTGGCCATGGAGATCCGCATGCGAGGGCAGCCTCGCTTTGCCAACTTCAGGGCGAACACGCTGTCACCCGTCCGCTTCTTTGTGGGCAAAAAGTGGAACACCGTCCCCCTGCGAAATAAGTCCCTGCAGCGGATCTGCGCCGTGGACTATGACGACAGCTACGACGAAATCCTGAACGGCTGTGAAGATAATTCGGTGGTCTCCTATGGCCCCGGAAGCCTTCAGAGCATGGTGTCCTCCGACTCCACATCCCCAGACTCGTCCTTAACAGAAGAGTCACGCTCTGAGACAGCCAGTAGTTTGTCCCAGAAGATTTGCAATGGGGGAGTGTTGTCCCCTGGTAGCCAGGGCGATGCTGCTAAAAACATGAAGGAAACGGAACCCAGTTGTGAGAGTCTCTCTGGTAACGATCAGGAGGATGCACCGCACGCTTCCCAGGGCTCCACGAGGGCCCCAGAGACACACAAAGCAGTCCTGGCTGTCCGCCTGGAAGAGAGGGCTGGCAAGATCGCAGTACAGACGGAGAGGCCAGAGAGCAAAGCCTCCACGGACATCGCCGGGCAAGCAGTCACCATCAGCCTGGTGCCTGTCGAAGAGCAAGCAAAGCCCTACCGCGTCGTGAACTTGGAGCAGCCGCTGTGCAAGCCCTACACTGTCGTGGATGTGTCAGCAGCCATGGCCAGCGGGCACCTGGAGGGTGCCAGCAAACCGAGGACAAAAGGCTCATCTTCCACCCCAAGCTCTCCGGCGACATCACCCGCATTGACACCAGGACAAATAAGTGCCCATTTCCAAAAATCCAGTGCAATCCGATACCAGGAAGTATGGACTTCCAGTACCAGTCCACGACAAAAGATACCCAAGGTGGAATTAGCGAGTGCTGGAACTGGACCAAATATCCCGCCCAGGAAAGTGTGTCACAAATCAGCACCCACTTCGCCGACAGCTACCAACGTTTCCTCCAGAACCATCCCTGTAAAGTCACCCAATTTGTCAGAAATAAAATTTAACAGTTACAACAATGCTGGCATGCCCCCCTTTCCCATTATCATCCACGACGAGCCCACATACGCCCGGAGTTCCAAGAACGCTATCAAAGTTCCCATTGTAATCAATCCCAATGCATACGACAATCTCGCCATCTACAAAAGTTTCCTGGGAACCAGCGGCGAGCTCTCGGCGAAGGAAAAGACCGCGAGTATCATAAGCCATACCTACGAAGAAATAGAACACGAAAGCCAAGTGTCTGACGGCACCGCCTGCAAGCCCACGGAATGCCCCCATGCGAAAGGGCTTTCGAGCAGCACGGAACGTCAGAGGGGCTCCGTGGCCCAGAAGGTCCAGGAGTTTAACAACTGTCTCAGCCGAGGCCAGTCCTCACCACAGAGAAGCTATAGTTCTAGCCACAGTTCCCCAACAAAGATCCTGAGACCCACCCCAGAACCTGCGGCCAAAGCAGAAAACCCCCAGGAGCCTCAGGCCAACGGCGGCAGCAGTAGCAGCAGGGAGAAAGCAAGCACCGTTCTCTCACAGATTGTGGCTTCTATCCACCCTCCCCAGTCTCCACCAGAAACGCCGCCATCTGGCCCCAAAGCCTGCAGCGTGGAAGAGCTCTATGCCATCCCTCCAGACGCCGAGGTGGCCCAGAATACCCCAGCCCGGCCCAAATCCCTCTTCACGTCTCAGCCCAGTGGCGAGGCGGAAGCCCCGCAGAGCACTGAGAGCCCTCCAACCAAAGCACAGAAAGACCCACTCTCAAAGCCACTCGCCATCCCTCCCTCCAAGCTAGTGGCGAACGCCCAAAGTGAGCCAGCACCCCCCTTCCCGCCGCCACGCTCCACGTCCTCGCCGTACCACGCAAGCAACCTCCTGCAGAGGCACTTCACCAACTGGACCAAGCCAACCAGCCCCACCAGGTCAACGGAAGCCGAGTCGGTTTTGTACTCGGAAGGCAGCAGGCGGGCAGCCGACGCAAAACCAAAGCGCTGGATATCGTTTAAAAGCTTCTTCCGCCGTCGGAAAACCGATGAGGAGGACGACAAGGAGAAAGAGCGAGAGAAGGGGAAGCTGGTGGGGCTGGACGGCACGGTCATCCACATGTTGCCCCCACCGCCAGTGCAGCGCCACCACTGGTTCGCGGAAACCAGAGCTGAGTCCAGCGAGAAGCCAACCATCGTCTTCCTGTACAGGTGCGACCCTGCCCAAGGCCAGCTCAGTGTGGAGCGGAGCCAGGCCGGAGCCGATCCGACAGCGGTCATGGGCAAGGGTGGCCCGGAGGATGCTTTCCGCCAGGAGTCAGAGAAGAGAAGGAGTCACTCCTCGCCAACACTGCTCCCTAAAAAAATTCTCAGGTAGGTAAAATAAACTGGCAGAGTGTCGTTTGCTTGGTTTTGTTTTGAAAACACATTTTCAGGTGCTCAGGTGGCTGTATCTTGGCCGAAGAGCCCTGTTTGTCAGGAGCAGGCTGTGGCCAGCATCTGTCTTTATCACTGCATTCCAAGGTGAGACTATCTTTGGCGTGATCTTATTGCACTAAACAAGGTTTATGGCCCTGCACCTTCAGCTAAAGTAGCATGCTGCTTCCTGGTGAATGCAAAGGGGCTTTGAGATGGGAAAGCCAATCCGTCACACCTTGATAGCAGTAAATAATTCGCTACTTTGGAATGCTACATTGCATACGCAAGGGGGAAAATCAAATGAATGAATGGTAGTAGTCGTCTTGCCCTCACTGGAGATGAAATAAAACCTTTCAAGGAGTTCTTTCTGGCTGTCACCAAAGTGTTCTCTCCATGTGCATTACTAGCATTTGCTTGTTTGTTACTGTTGCCCTTTCCTGTCCAATCCTTCTACCCGATGACTTTGATTTGTGAAAAATCAAAGCCAAATCCACTGCCATCAAGTCAATTCCAACGCATTGCAGCCCTGTAGGCAGACTAGCCCTACCCCCTTTGAGTTTCTAAGGCTGTAAATTCTTGTGGGAGCAGAATGCCTCATCTTTATCCCCCAGAGAAGCTGGTGGGTTCAAACCGCTGACCTTGAGGGTTAGCACTGTAACATGTAACCCACTATGCCACCGGGACACCTTGTAGGAGAAAAGAGGGGGGATACTGAACATGCAGGTAAAAGAGGAGAAGTTAGCTGTCGAGATTGAGACTCAAATGGTATTACACTCCACCATGTATACCTACATCAGTTCTCTGGGCATTGGTTTTCCGCAGTACTTTCAATAACTCTTTCTTGATCACCTACTCTCTGTCAGACATTGTGCCAAGAACATCCCAGATGTTTACCTCAGGTCCTATAATGCGTTGTGGCCCCCAGCTGAGAAAGGTGAAACTCACAGGAGGTCACAGTGGGCCATTGTCTGACAGCTGGCCGTGGTCAGAGTCAGGACTCACTCCCGAGCTTATGTTCTTCCTGGCTTGTTGCATCGTCCCAAGCAAAACTGTTTACATCTTCACTTGGCATCGTTCACAGACACACATATATTTAGAAAGCCTACGCTTTCCTTTCGCGTCTCTATCGTAGTCAGAATTAACTGCCAATAAAAACAAGGAACGAGTATCCTAAGTCTGTGGCAATCAGGATGATTTCTTTCAACAAACGTCTGCCCTGAGTGCGCCATTCGTCCCATTTTGGATCTTTCTCCTTCCTGACTTGAGGAAACCTTCCCTACCACGTCTGAGCTTCTATCCAGCAAAGGCGGCAGACTGATAAAAGGGCAGTCTCCCTTACCAGTTTGTCTCTGGACAAAAATATAAATTAAAATGAAGTGAGCACATAATGCCTTCACCTTGTCTAGCAAAATGCCAGCGTGTTTTATATATATACATACCCTTTACTAAAATGAGCTTTTTACACATACACACACCAAGGAGTTATCAAGATGTTAGCAAGTTCCCTGTATTCTTCAAGTCCATTTAATAGCAAAAGCAGCTGGAATCGTGGTAATATACTCCTGGAAAGAATAGTCTTGTCGCTGGGAGTGAATGTGGATGATCGAATGCTGTACTCCACCAGTAATAAGAGCCGTGTCTCGCAGGTTACTATTTTATTTAGGAAAGGAGCCACTTAAACAGCACATGGTTGGAGCTACCACCCGGGGAATGGCAGACGGTTCGTGCAGATCAATAAGTGGCTGTACTCCTCATTAAGGACGGCCGTGGTGTATTTATCCACATCCCAGAAGGCAGAGCCAAGGAAGCACTTGGCCTCTCTTCTATTGAATGAGACACTCCCCTTTGACTGTACCTGGGCGGGAGGGCTGCCCAGGCATTTGGCAGGACACAGCTCTTATAAGACAGTTTATTTATTGGTTCACAAATTTGCTTCTGCACGGGCCAGCCATAGTTTCCAAAATTGATCGCTCTAGATTATGTCCATGAATCCACATGACATGATCTGCCTGCTCCACTGATGCTCAAATTTGAAAATCTCTCAGAATCACCTGGAGGGCTCCCCCTGCCCCACCCCCCAAGTTTCTGAAACAGGAATTCTGGGGTAAGGCCTAGTGATCTGCATTCCTCACTAGTTCCTGAGGTGCCTTAGTGACACCGTGCACTAGGCATTGGGCTGCTAAAGGCAAGATCAGTGGTTCAAACCCACCAGCTGCTCCATCAAAGAAACAGGAAGCTGTCTGCTGTTGAAAAGAGTTGCGGTCTCAGAAACCCCCTCAGGAGCAGTCCCGCTCCGTCTTGTAGGGTCACTGTGAGTCAGAATTGACTCAGAGGCAGGGGGTTTGGTCTGAGAACCATTTCCTCGCTGATGCTGATGCTGATGCTGCTGGTCCAGAGTTGAGAATGTGACCCGTCGTAAAATCGTCCTAAAACTCTGTGCTGTCATCTACGTAAAGCAGTAATTGCAGTACAGGCATCCCCCGTGGATGAAAAGACGAACATTTCATGAAGCCTTTCGTAAGCCAAAATGGTATAAAGCAAAGAAGCAGTTCCCATTCATTGACATGGGACAAACCGCTGGGAATCCCCACACCTGAAAGAGAGCCCCCAGATCCTGTTGTCTTCACATCAAACCACTGAAGACCCTTAGCTGTCTCGGGGAACACTGGAGTTCGTGCTGCTGTTTCAGAGCCTAAGTGTCATTGGATATGATCTGGGCCCACTGGGCAGTTTGCGGAACACTCGCTGCTCTTTTCTCCCTTCTTCGTAAAATGGAAAATCCTCCCTGGAGTTCTTTCTGTTCACAAGAACGGGAGAAACTCACATAGGTCTTTCACAAAGGCCAAGTGGTGTGTAAAGTGAACATTCAAAAAGCAGGGGATGCCTGGACTTATTTTTTCTCAAAGACATAGGGACAGACATGTTCACGCTCTGCCATGTCCCAGACTCAATAGAAGAAGATATTCAGTAATTGTCCACTTATTCCTTTTCCACTAACTTTTAGAAACCTTTGAAATATAAATGAGCATTTTGAAAAATTGACAGCATTTGCTCTTCCAAAAATTACCATGGCTACACGCTTGGTATTTACTTGAAGCAGTTTTGAGAGGCCAGGCATTACTGTCAAATGTCAGCACTTGTGTTTCCGGCTTGATGGCAGTGTAATCACTGAATTAACATCCCACTGCTGGAAACGTGCTGAAGGAAGCGGTGAAAATGTGCTTTTCCTGCGGTAAGTAAATGAAGATTCCAAACCCAACCTGGATGTAAGGCATGCCGAATGAGCCAGCCTGCCCTGAAGGCTGGGTCTCAGGCAGGAGAGAGAGTAGTAATTCGGGAGAGCCTGGCTTTCTGGGACCGCACTGTTAGTAAAGCCATTTATTTGACCACTGAGAAGACATCCATCAAATGTCATACCTGTGTGTCAAATGGAGTGTTCGGTTCTGGAGTAAAAGGTGGACAAGATTATGACATTGTTAGAATACGGGGCTAGGGTGTACGTTCTGCCTCAGCTCTCTGTCCAATCCTACAGGATGCAGTGGCTGTATTGATAACTGTGGGACATGAGAAAATAATGTAAAAGGTCTAGTAGGGGATCTGGCACCTGTTAGTGTTTTAGGGCCCTGTCAACTTGACCCTGCTCAGAGCAATCCCAAGTGACAGGAAAACTGTCCCAGCAGGTTGTAACCCTTAGAGACCACTAGGTCTTTCTCCCACAGAGCCTCGTAAGTGGGTTCAAACCACCAACCCAAATCCAGAAACCCAAGCCATCCACAGCCACTGAGTTGGTTCTGACACATCGCAGCCTTACAGGGCAGAGCAGAACTGCCCCATAGGGTTTCCAAAACGAAATCTTTACGAAAGCAGACCGCCTTGTCTTTCTCCCACGGAGCTGCTGGTGGGTTTGAACCACCAGCCTTTTAGTTAGCAATACAGTACTCCATCTGTGCCAGCAGAGCTCCTGACCAACCCAAAATAGCTTCGTTCAAATGCCCATAGCCCCTCAACCCCCATGTAGTAAATGCTGAACCACGTGTTAGCAGAATGGTACAGAGACACAAGTCAGTGACTCAAGCCACTTACAACAGATTTCTCATCAACCAAATCCAAGCCTGATCTGAAGAGACAAATAGGAGTTTGCCAGCTGGGTGGGAAAGACATGGTAGGCAAGGGAGCAGAGGGAAGAGGACGGCGGCACACAACAGCAGGATGTGTGGCTGGGGAAGAAAGATGGGCAGACTGGTGGCCGTAGAGTGTGGCTCATGCCAGGTCAAACTACTTGGGTCATACTGGGAAGTCACCGTTTGTCTTTCTCACTGATTGGATGGCGTTTCCACCGATGGGGCAGAAACAACAGTGGGTGACTGTGCATCGAAGCACCGATCAAAGCCACAGCACCCAACGTGCTCGTCGCAATAAATCAATCAATAAATGAGCCCCTCTCCCTTAGGAATGTCCCTGGTGAAGCAGCACGTTTCCTTCCATTTCAGCCCTGTGTAACAGCAATTCCGTGGGATGAAATGGGAGGTGTACGTAGAGTGCGTCAGCTGCGTGCCAAAGTGTCATGGTTTTCTCAGGGAAAAACTCTTTAAGAAATCGCTTGATTGTAAAGCTGAGCTAGCCCCACCTGACTTACACACTGTGGTTTTTTAGACGTGGGTGTTTGGCAGCTATTTTCTTAAGAATGGGTGTAGTGAGGCTGTCACTCTGGGGATAATCATCGAGGCTTTCAAGCAAAATGTGGGCTTTTTTGTTTGGTTGGTTGGTTTTGAAAAGCTGTGTCCATGACCATGACAGCTTCCTATACACAAGGAAGTCCAAAGTGTGCTATAAAGTCAGAGACACTATCAAAATGTGAAGCTATGCCTCTCGATGTAGCGCCCGCCATCTGAGTCTGTATATTCTCTCTGAAGGCGGGGCTCCCATCCCTCTAACCTTTCCCTGGAGAATTCTGT